ATAAGTATCTTACAATATATTTGCATTGTTATCTAAACAATACACATGGATACAAATATACACAAATAATTTATATTGTTATAGACAAGATCCATGATAATCCTTTCGATTCTGATGATCCTGACGATTTTCTGAAAAGCACCCAGTGACTGTGTTAGTCGGTTATCCGGCAGTGCAGTCTGCACTGTAAACGTTGCAGTTTTAGCTAGTATTTCCAGGCTTTCCTCCATTACATTTTTCGATTATCTCAAGTGTCTATTGTGTCGTGTATGTGGCGACTCCCACATACAAAGAAACAGAAACATACTACAGCGCCATCTAACGAAGACACACCGAACTACGGAGTAACTACTGAATGAGAATTGCTAATCCTGTATCGCGATATGAAGAATTCACGGGCCACGGCCCGCCAGGCATGATCACCTCGCCTGGTAGGAGGATCCTCCCTTTGTGTTGGATGGACATGATACCCGTTCCTCCACAGTGTATACCTAAATGTGTGACATATCTTGAAGTAGAATGGAAAAGAAAAGGTACCTAAAGACACTAAAGAGCAATAGTCACTTTAAAAGTTTTATTAGTTGGAATTTAATAAGCTATCCAATTTATTTTATTTCGCTACATTAGCATTATTAATTTCCAAAAACAACACGTATCTCTATGTGAGCCAGATTTTGCTCTCGAGTGTGCTTAAATAGGCAAAAAAACAAGTAATGCTATTCTACACGATTTACGAGCAAAACATCAAGTTGTAGTAACTCGATTACATTGATATTAGATACCTACGTTTTTACGATCAACTTGGTTTGGATGTTTCGTTCGATCTCGTGCAATTTGAACCGGAGAAAAAACATTTTTAGTACACACTTACTCGTTTACTGGTTTTGTTTGGGTATTTTTATTGCTCAGTGCGCTGTAAATTGTTACTTTTTTCACAAATTTATTCCTCACCTTATTCCAACACCTGGATTAAGGGAAATTGTAACTTGTTTTGCCTCCCAAAAAAAAAACAGACAGAACAAATTTTGTGTGTCTACACTAATATTTTGAAACGTAGAGTTTGTCTGTTAGTTTTAGATAACCCATTTATTGAGGCTATATAACATCACGCTATGCACAATTGGAGCAGAGCATCAATAAGAAATGTTTCAAACACGGGGCAAATTTATTCCTTTTCGTAAACAAAGTTGCGTGGGTCACCTAGTCTGTGATAAACTTACTCTGTGACAGACTTGTTGCTGGGAGAACACACAGAACAACATACAGTGTATTTGCCGAAACCTGTTGCTTCATACATGTCCTGCTTTTGCTTTGTGTAACATGTTTTTTCCCCTTTCCTGTAATATGTCGAAGTGACTTCGTAAATCAGAACGGATGTATATAAGTGTGTAACAGAAGGCGAATAAAATGGTTTTGACCAATGAACGGGCGCGGTGCTGGAGTTGGCTGTCAGGTGGTAGATGATACACGCTGATACACGTCAGATGTGTCAGATGCGACTATTGTAATGCTACGTTTAAAAGCTCTAACCCTTTATAAGTATTTGGATGTCATTTACACACTTACGAGTGTGTTAGTGTGTTCCGAACAGGCAAATAATGACAAACCAAACACAAGGCTGTGTGTGTTTGGTTTGTCATTTTCTTTATTCAAATAAAATATCAACAGAGGCACCAAACACGCGCCTACATGTGAAGACGTCGCAAGCTATTACCGCAAGCTTCTTTTGATCTGTGATCAAAAACCGATGCTAGCCCGGATCGGCTATAAGCTCACGTCAGCCAAGCCGAACACCTCGTTCACACGCTTGCGTTTGTGGACACAAATCTATACTCTATACAAATAAATAAAATCTGAGTGTCTGTTTGTAATATTAAAATAACCGCTTTTTACTAAATGCATATGTATGTTTACACGGTACATATACCAAAATAACATTTTTTACAATTTTTGTCTGTCTGTCTGTTTGTTCCGGGTAATCTCTGGAACGGCTGGACCGATTTCGACGGGACTTTCACTGGCAGATAGCTGATGACATAAGGAGTAACTTAGGCTACTTTTTTTAGACTAGCTTCGCCCCACGGCGTCGCCCGCGGTTATAACACCAAACGCGGGTAAGACCGCGGGTCTCAGCTAGTAGTATGTATGGTAGCTAATAGTAGTAATGGTAACGTCAAAACAACTCAGTGTCTTTTTCCTCTATTTTTCAATAAATTTTCAAATCGATCTTTCTTTCGATTACAAACGGGCCTGTTGGTCTAGTCTAGTGGTAAGTGACCCTAACTTCAACGCCGGAGGTCGTGGGTTCGATTCCCACCCAGGACTAATATTTGTGTGTGTTCTGTGTCTAGGAGTAATTTATCTAAAACATGTAAGTATTTAGAAATATTTAAGTATGTGTTGACGGGGTGGAAAATCCCTTCGGATCTCCAGCTCCTCGGGGACTCAGGAGCCAGGAGTATGTGGTGATTCCACTAAAAACCACCCCGACGGCCGGCCTCAGGTGCCCTACTCTGAGAGGACCCGGACCATGTTCTTTCAGGTCCTCCCCGAATTGACACCATGCCTAATCAGGCCCTATCCCTGGGAAAAACACTTCCCCCCTCAATCGCGACAGCGGGCCAGTTGCGTCTTATTGCAATTCCTTCCTATCCCCTACTGCATCAATCAATCTGCCACCAGAGGTCCCCACTCTCAGGCGGCCCGCGGCCATGTCGACGGCTGGTATCGTCGCCGACGTCCTCTACGGTCTCTTTCTGGAGCATTACAACTTCACAGAAAGAGACCACTGCACCCAATCTCACGTCACCCGCCAGCATGGCAGCAATAATTGCTTGTGAGTTTGCCGGCACCTGCGTCTGACACCTACTTAATAAAATTTTGACATTTGACGATAGAACTTAAGCTCTCTGAGGTGTTTGGATAGACACGGATAAAAAAGTACCTATTTAGTCAGTAAAAAGAAATACTTGTGATTATAATTAACTATTACTAGAGAAATCAAAACTAATATACCTATCAGATTCCTTTTGAAACAATAATATAATATGTATGAATGAAAAAACGAGTCATTGACAATTCACACACATGTAAACGTATAATAATAATATACTTACCGAAATAACACGGACACAATATTTTGTTTTGCTGTGTGTACATGTGTATGTTAGGTACTCTTATCGAAATCACATCACACAAAAATTCGTCACAAAACTGCAAAAGTAAGCGTCTCGCGATAATAAATCAGATTTCCGGATAATATAGAACATCCTTTGCAATACCGTCTGACCGGATATTAAGTAAAGAAGTGTATCGTTCAAGTTCCGGCTTAAATATACCAAATAATATAGTACTTACTTCGGAAATCAGGAATTTCTTTGAAGAATTGAGACGTATACAATAGACATATTTTTTCTAAAAGGTTTTTTGGCCGTACGACATGCCTTCCTGGCGTTTCTATACAATTTACCAGTTAGTAAGGACTAATAAAGGAATATTTTAAAAATAATATTTAATAATAAATAATTGATTGTTGTTAATATTTGGTACGTCATAGGCAGAGGCGAACATTTCATCGGCGCCCCCCGCATCCCTCTATCGCCCATACCGTATTTATTTTATTAATAGCTACTAGTTGACGTTACTAAATGTGAGACAACTTTTTTATTTTTTATTTTTATGTGTGGAAACCCACATGGGCTGTCACCCCACCGGGGTTTGCGTTGGGGCGGTGTATCGGCATCGAACCGACTAAACCGCACGGTGTGTAAACTGTGCCAGAAATAGGAGGGATCCGATAACAGTTTTTATTAAGACATCTGGACCTTTTTTTGGTGACTGATGGCTTCGTCGCTCACACCCAGGCCTGCAAGTCAGCTCCTCACGGTACGGTACGGAAATGGTCCTATGCTGCCATCATGCCCACTCTACTATGACCGGCTGGAGTGCTCGACTCTTGGGGACGAAGTGTCACTGGTTTAGTGAGTTTAATTGAGGGCGGTCTGTGCTCACGGACGAATTTAAAAAGGTCGACCTAAATCGGTTGTTGTACCTCAAAATATTGTCATGTTATATATCGCGAAATAGAAGCGTCTCTGGGAATAAGTATGAGTATATATAAAATATTACACGAACATTTAGCTGTAAAAATCTTTGTTCACATTGGATTCGGCACAACTTCAGAATTAACCGAAAACGGGCTCGTATCGATTGGTGTAAAAAAATGTTACAAAACTACAATCAGGGTGCGTCAAAAGCTGTCTACACATGTGTATTGTAAACGTATTTGGTATGTTTATATATCAATTATCTAGAGTATTACAAAGTACACCACAGACTACCCTAAATCAGATTTGACAATATCCGCGTAAAGATTATCTGTAAGAGGTCACCGTAAACGACGCTTATAGTAATACCAAAATGTACAAGTTCATCCATATCTGTACAATATATACTGTAGCAGTGTACGATAAAGATCTATAAATAAAATATATTGATTGATTCTGATCTGGTAGAAGAGGTTAAGTTGGCCTACTCAACCTCCGTGAATAGAGAAGAATCGAAGAATAGAGTGCTGAGGATCTCTTTCGCCTCGTGAACAGAGTATACAGAGCTGACTGCCAACCTTCACTAGAGGCAGTCGAAGAAGATGCAGCTTCTAGCAGGCTAGCAGTATTCTTTTCGTTCTTTCTCCTACTTCCTTACTCTACTATTTTCCATGTTATGGTCCTATATGATTTAATTGACAGTCAATATGTTTACGGTACAGATTCATTAAAGTACTAGTTGCGACATCTGTGCAGCAAATTCAGTGTTACACTTGGCCTAAAATTTACAATTTATTATCCTTATGAATGAATACTTTGTGGTCTAAGCATAGACTAGACAATACATAAACTAAAATATTATAGACAGCTCAATAAAATAATGTCGCACACAATTAATTATTGTATTCAATTTGGTTTTGTAAATCATAAAACGAAACGAACAAGCAACACGAAATGATTAAATATTTTTTAGAAGACAATGATCCAGAAAATCTCGGTTATACTCTGAGTTTGAAAACTGGCTGTATATTTATTGCTTCGTTTGGAATTGTAAGTATCCAACATTAGCTGTTTTTTGCTATCATTTTGAGTCGCTATCCTGTTTACAAAAATAATATTAATATTACTATTAGTGAAAGATCTTTCTAAGTATACCTGTGTAAAATAGTATATCGAACACCGATTGCCGGCATATAGACGTGTAGACGTGGTGGACAAGAATTGTTACCCAAAAATAATCTTTCGCGATTGGCCCGCACGGAAATCGACGTTCGCTTCGTTGTTCTTCACCATTTTTTTTTTTTTTATTTTTAACGTGTGGAAATCCCCTCGGACCGTCACCCCACCGGGGTTTGCGGCGGGGTGGTGTGTCGGACTCGGACCGACTAAAACCACACGATGTGCCACTCTGCGCCTGTAACAGGAGGGATCCGGGAACAGCTGTTATTAAGACATCCGGACCCCTCCTAGCGCCAGCCCGCTCCTAGTGCGGGCTCCGTCTCAAAATTTTCCTCTCTTTAGGCGACGTCCGGCACACGCGGACGCCGCCCCCTCGCGGCTGGCCAAACTAATGCGGGTGGAGGGGAAACCCTCGTTGGTCTTCACCAAGCGCAACGCCAAACGCGGTTACCGTGACGATCGAGTGGATGTGAAATAAACTCACACGCTCGTAAAATATTTTAGCCAAAATGAATTTTATCTAATGAAGCTCAATAAATATTATAAGTCGCAGAAGTTTTTTGTTCTAAAAATTTAAATGAAATGCAAGTGAACAACGTTATGTATATAACAGAAAGTGAGGTCGCTTATCTTGACTTGTTGAAGAATAAGCTTTGCCTTGATTGGCTGAGAGAAATCACGCGTGCTAGCTTAGTTGCTGATAATTCTCGAAATCTAATTTAACACAAAAAAGATTTGCATCCAATTACGACCTATATTTTGAGATTTATAATAATAGTTTATGACTGCACGGATGGCGTAGTGGTTTAAGGGGTCGCCACGTCGCTTCCTACTACGCCGAGTGTTGTGGGTTCAAACCCCACATGGTTCTGAGGTTGGGGGTTCTTTGTGTCCGTTTCATGTATGTTTGTAAAGTCCCAGCGATACAGGATATATTACTAATGCGGGCGTTGTCCTTTTAAAAATAATAACTTTCGGTTACAGTTGCTGTGGTGTTCAGATCTTCTCTTCGACAAACGATACAAGATCGTGACGTATTTGAACGAGAGCCGGTACAAGCTACTATACTCTGTAGTATTCACTTTGTATGTCACTTGTATACTCGCCCTAATTATACATATAATTATACATTACAAGTTGTTTCCTTTATAATCTCGTATTACCATCAATTGCAAAATACTTTAGCCCTACCGCCTTAGATCTACTTCTTAAACAGTAATAGGTGGCTTCATTTGTAATTCCAAGGGTCTAGGAAACTCCCCCCAACCAACCCCTTCCCTCCCCCCACCCCACTCTGTCCGTAGTCCTAGTTTTTATTCAGCCGCTTTATAGCTTACATCACTCACTGAACGAGACGAGGGAATCGACAGTCAACCACAAGCACACGTTGAGCACTTGACTGCGGTGCGTGCGTGTGCATGAAAGTGCGTGCGTGCGTGTGTGTGAGTGGTTTATTATTCTCAGGTGTAGTAACTAAATATCAATAAAACAACACACAATTAATGTACAATATTTTATTCAGAGTGCAAGCATTCAGTAACTTTGTATAAATATTAACGGGATTACTCTACTAAAACAGAACTAAACAAATCGTCACAACACGAATGTTAAACGCATTAATGACCGGCGCAGTGTTAATTCCTCTCCGCTCATTAACACAATATTTTTTAGCATTTTCAATAACAAAAACTAGAGTAATCCAATTAATATAAACTAACTTAAACTAAAATACGTAACTAAAGTTTATACAGTGGAAGAACTATTTTTCATTACCTTCAAATGGCAAACCTATTCATAATGAACCAAAATATTTATTTTTCAAGTGTTAACAATACTATGGCCTAAACCTGGACTTGTGAAAAAAACTATTGCTCAAAGCCTGAACTTATGAATATGATTATGTCTTAAGCCAGACTTGTGCAAATGAACACGGCCCAAAATTAGACTTGTGGATTTTTTATGGCCCAAAGCTAGACTTGTAAAAATTGACTAGGGCCGTTATTTTACTCACGGGTGTATTTCGAGGATGCTCGACTACTGTCGGACCCCAATGTTGACACCGACTAGTAAAGCCGTATACTACTCACCAGTTTTTATTCCAATTTGTTATTTTCTATTTAATGCTCGAACAGTACAAGTCAGGCTCTGGCCTTGCATAGAATTTAATGTTATATGTCTTTGTTTTTACGCTAGCATTGCGTTTGAGACTTAACAGTAGTACAATATCATCCTCATCATCATCAGCCTATCGCAGTCCACTGCTGGACATAGACCTCTCCCATTGTATGCCACTAAGATCGATTTTGGGCTTATTACATTACAATATGCTCGATCCCAATTATAAATCAAAGCCAAAAATGTAGACCGTCTTAAGTAGAACTCAAATGCTTTCTTCGTATTTGTCATTTGATAAAACTAGTATTTGCGGAAAAAATAATTATTCCTTACATATGAACCGTCTTAATGATAATTACAAATTTCTACGATTCCTACTTTTTTCATCACAGAATTTTTTTCATAGCTTAATACGCATAACAGTATATGAACCATATTATAATACAATATAAAAGTTGAACATCTTGTAGCATAAGGTTATTAAAATAGAGATAAAAAAAGAAAGAATATAAAACCTTTTATCCAAAAAATGCTAAAAGGATCCTCTGCACCAACAGTTACTGATGCTTCTATGTGTAATTATGGCCCAATTTGACAGACGCGAGAAACAAAAAAAAATCAATTAGCTTGGCCCGGGGCTTACAGTTAATGTCACTAATAATAAATTGTGGCCCAGTAAGATCCCAACGACATGGAGACATTTTGGCCCGGCGCTAGAACTTATTTGTATTTAATTTAAGCCTAATAGGAACGAATATGTTGTACGTTGATCATGAAAAAGGCCAAATGCGACAATCGAGATATCAAACAGCCTAGGCCTTATCGTCCAAACCCACACTTTAAAAAATTTATTGACACTAATTTAGCCCCACACCAAGAGATTACTGTGACCATCAAAACCACAAGACATTCAACTAAATTTGGCATCTTCAACAATATGTGCTACGCCCATAATAAATCTACATTTGTTCACAGAACACAAAGTATAGTGAACCTTATGTGGCTAATTAAAAAGGCGATATTTAGTCTTCAGACTACGTTTTCATCTATAAACTAGTCTTAATAACAAACACTATACACAATAACACTATATTTGATATATTTTTTCAATAGACATATTGTCGATACATTTGTGAGTGAAGATTTATTGATTTGATTTCGAAATAACAAAAAAAAACGACGATTAGACACAAGTTACTAGTAGGTTACAGCAGTAACTCTGATTTTATGATGTAAATTATAATTAGTTCATCTCGGCGGGATTCAAACCGGCAGCGCATTGGTTAACTGTTGTAAGGGTCCATCCATAAAATATGTTACACATTCACTACACATTTTCAACATCCCTAAACATTTTCAGGTCACACAAACACTAAACTGTAGTACAAAATTACGTCCCCTGGTTACAAACGTATTATATGAAAGGCCCCTATCCGAAAAGGACAAAAACAATTCGGAAATAGTCACAACTATACCTACATTTGTTGGTACTTCTTCAATCTCCCTCTAACTTATCTTCTAATTTACTCTTTTTGACGTTAGGGGACTCTGTACCATCATACACTATGACTTCTTCAGTGGAGAAACTCACTCGTTTTCTCTTCAAAGCTTTCGGATTTCTATCGTACTCTGAACTCAAGCTTCGGCTGCTTTCGTCACTGGAGAGGCCATTTGTAGCGTTCCTTATGATGAGCAGGTCCTTTTCTATCTCCGTTAGTTCTTTGGGTTTCGGTGGTCGGCCTATCGGACGTTTTGGTTTGTTCTTAGTAGAGGGGGATTCTTCTGGCTTACGTTTTTTGTATGTCCGTTTGCCTGGGTGCATTTTGCTTTTCTTTGTTTGGGATTCTTCCTAAAAATTAATAATACGTATTAGTATTTTTTGTGGTACAAGGGGGCAAACGAGCAGAGGGGTCACATGCAATGATATTATATACATAAAAGAGGTAGATACGCCATCAACGCACAAAACGTGACGGTCCTAATTAGGACCACAAAAAGCGCGCGCACGTACTGATGCGAAAAAATTCATAACATGCCTTCTGTCGTATTGCAAATAGCTGTCTCTTTCACTCTTATGCTTTCCCTATTTCCTATCGCACTTGTAGCGAATGTTTTGTTCTAAAATGCATTAATAGATGTATGTATAGTGTTACGGAAGTATGAATATAACGTATCTTTCTTAAAATAACATTGGTCACCTGATGGTAAGTGACTACCTACGCCCATGGACACCTGCTACTCAAAAGTCACAAATGCGTTGACAACACCACAAAGACCATAAAAGTAACCATCAATGTTTTCGGCAGTTATTATGTGAAAAGTAGAACCACAAATTCACGAAGAATGGCACCAAAAATTAACAACTGAACCGTATTTGCTTAAATATATTCTAATCTTAAAAAAGAATCAGAAGTCCAGGACATTAAAATTAAAAAAAAAACCTTGCATTATAAGGACAACGAGAGAAATAAAAAAAAACTGCTAACTTTAAAAGAATCTTCTTCTTTGAATTACAAAAACGAATAACCGATTTTTTTCATTGATTCATTTTCTGTTTCTGATAGATTTTTTATTTAATTTGTTTTTGTTTTTAATTGTACTTCTGGTTTGTTGAGAATCTGGTGTGGTGCAAATCTGGTGAATTCAGAATCAAGTAAACTGATTATAGAAATTGAGTTTCTACCAAAGATCTAATCAAAAAGAGAATGCACTGATCTACTATTAACGTTTAAAAATAATCATTTTATTTCATATAAGTTTTGTTATTTTATTTTAAGACTAGCTGACCCTGCAAACGTTGTTTTGCTATTTACATTATTTTAATTTCGTAAAATCCGTTCTTAGCTGACCTCTACTCGGTAAAAAGAATATTACGAATACGAATTTCAAGTCTTTAGCTCTAATGGTTCCAGAGATATCGTGATGAGTGACTATATACGTGGAAATCTCTTATATATGTATATAGATTAACCTTAACCTTTCAAATAAATTGTTACTGACTGTACATTAATTTGACAATTTCATTTCGATCGTTCTAAAACAAAGATATTTGGGAAATCAGAAATTTTGGGGAAAGGTGGTGGAAAAGGTGATTTTAAGATTTCTTCATTATGCGATCAGTACAATATAAGAAACTATCCTAACAGACTGGGAGCTATTCAGTATGTCACCAATTATTCTAAAAAAAAATGCAAAAAAGTACCTATGTAAGATAGCTAATAATGTAATATATTTGTAACAAAATAAACATTCTATCAAGAGTTACGGAGTAAGGGATATCCCATTTGGGATGGGAAACGCAACTGAGGCATGCGATTGGACTGCCCGAATTCAATTTATTGCCCTCGGCTGCGCATGTTTTCTTACTTCATGTTTCTAAATTTGAAAATGGCGAACTTATATACAACCGTTCATCACTTATTTTAGCCCTTAGGGAATATCCAAAAATCCTTTTAGTGGGTGCTTAAAACATAAAATCATCAACTCAAATTCAATTTTGTAGCCCCCGCGGTTTAGGGTCTGCGTTGATGAATCAGCCAGTCAGTCAGAGCAAGTTATTTTAAATGTATAATAATATAATATTCCGGACATCTATAACCCGGCAATCTCGTACGCGACCGTCTCGCGGGGTGACAGACAGTGGCGGGGGCGAGGTAGCGCGTCATTCTAGCACACGGCTACACACGAAGAGAAGCGTTTCCCTTCCCCGCTACACCACCCGCTACCCGCTGACATCTTGAGTACCTCGTCCCCGCCACCGTCTGTCACCCCTCAGGACGGTCGCGCACGACGTTGATGGACTATAGTTAAAACACACACAACGCCATCTAGTTTCAAACTAAGCAGAGGTTGTACTATGAAAGCTAGATTGACTGATAGAATACTTATACATTATTTAGGCAGTATAGATTACTACAAGCTTTTTTGGTGCTTATCTAACTAAGAAGAATACTCTTTCTTACATATGTTGAACAGCTATAATTTAATTAAATCTTGATAACAAACACAAGTATATCTAAGTTTCAACCAAGTTGCCCTGGTCACAGTCTGAGTCAGCCTGTTAGCTCTCGTACATATCCATAATTAACAACAGCATGCTGAGGTTATTTGCAGGGTGGATTGGATTGACAGGGGCAGGTTTATTAAGCTGCATGTGTTATAATTCGTTGAACTCCTCATGTATACATGTACACTTCCACATTTACTTTATAATATTATTTACTAACATAGTTATTAGGTTGTTTGTAATACTAACTCTATAGGCTTGGATGTTTTATAACATTTTTTTTTAGCGATCCATATAGTGCATGCCACTGTAGAGGAAAATAAATTCGTACCTGTTTAGGTTTAGCACCGATATACCCTGAACACCTTTTAGCGCCACACATACACCGTTTCTTATCGATTCCAGCGCATTCCAGATTGTAGTTGAACGTCACTTCACTGTGCTGTTAAATAAAAAAATTAATATTATAATTTAAGTAAGAAAATAACATGTTTTGGTATAGTTTCTGGTAACAGTCGCGAATACTAGGAAGCGAAAGATTTTGACGTTTAAATAATAAATCTGTACACACTCTTACTCCACACACTTTCTCCTAACTAATATTATACCGGCTGGTCTGTATGTCTAGGTTAGGGGTTCGTTTAACACCCAGGATAAATATTGTGTGATGAGCACGGTCATTTGTTCTTTGTCTTGGTGAAATTTATCTATGATTTGTATTTATTTAGATATATATAAGAATGTCTATCAGCAGTCCGGTTACCGTAGTACAGGCTCAAGGAACGCTTGAGCGTAGTTTTATCCCTTCGGCCGCCTACGAAACCAAGTTTCGAAACCAGTTTCAAAATAAGAATAATATTTCTTCTTTCGAAACTAGTTTCGATAAAGGAATAGTGTTTCTTCTTTCATAAGTTAAGTGTTTGTAAGCGCACAAAAACATGATTTTTACGACTTCACTTCAAAAATCTTTGAAATTCTCGGATTTCCTCTACCATAACATGAATATATTATACCTATAAACCCGCTTAAATCACTGTTTCTGTTAGTGAAAACCGCGTAAAAAGCTGATAGATCTAAGCGTACAAGAAAAAAGCGACTGTATTGACTACTGTACTGTAATGAAGATGACAAAGCGAGTTAAATGAAGTTTTTTGTTTGTAACACTTTAATAGCTTAAGTACTCAACCGATGAGCATGAAACTTTACGCACGTGTTAAGTGTTCTCATGACAACCAAAGTCAATTAAAAATTATTGGCTACTTTTAAGTTTGTTTAGCTATTTAAACTACAATTGATTTACTTCTTCCTGAGTTTTAAACTATCATCTATGAAGTTGATAAAAACTGTGTTGAAAGATTCCGTTACATAGATACAGATCAAGCTTATATAAAAAGTTTAAACCTGAATCGACAAATCAATATACAATACTGCAACTGAAATCTTTATAAATCGCTTCTTGTGAAATAATGTGAATTTGTATCAATAAGACAGTAAGGGAACATACTAGGTTACCAAATCAGGGTGGGGAGGTAGGGAGGGAGGAGTAGGAGGGTACCTTAAAAATACCCCCATTGGTCACAAGGGGGCTTTAGTTTTCGACACGTAATCAATATCATAATGGCAAGCGTTGTATATATAGACACACACATGATTCAGAACACTTTTTTAACTTTCGCTTTCAAAAATAATATAAAACCATTTTTATGAATTAATATGTGAAAACTAGAGAAGAGTGATAGTCGGGTCTTGGCGTATACTACGGGTGGTCACCGATGGAGGTAAAAAAATATGGGTCAGTTAGTATGTAGTGCCGAACGCAGTCACCGTGACGAGTGAGACGAGTATATGTAAAATAAACTCGCACTTGGGCCTCACTTAAGTGATAACACTTACAGCTTTGATGTCGTACAGCGCGAACAGTCCAACTCGCACATCGCCGAGCACCGTCCACTTCTGAGTTTCGCAGTTCGGCTCGCAGCAGTGATTCATAAACCTAGAATATAACGCATCTTCTAAGTTAAGCATTTTATAATGAGAAAGCGTAACGCCCTTTTGAGAGTTTTCTAACACATTAACCTTGATCTTAAAGTTGTTTTAAATATACTACTAACAAAAGTTAAAGGAACATGAAAAATATCTTAAAACAGCATTTCGATGTTCCAAGATTCTAGATTTTGTATCTTTACTTTATGCACGAAAAACTAATCTTTTTCGTTTAATTTCGTGTAATATGTAAAGGAGATAAGCTCTGCTAAGAAAAGGATATGATGACATACAAAAGCAAACCAATCGATTTAAATAACTAACTGGAAACATGCGCGATCTATTTAATGATAATAATCGACTGGCTTAGTCCTTAGTGACTCTGACTACTGAGCTGGAGGCCGAGGGTTAGATTCCCATCCGGGACAAATGGTTGTGTGATGAGCAAGATCATTTGTTCTGTGTCTGGGTGGAATTTATCTGTAATGTGTATTTATTTAGAATGATATTAGCAAACAGCCTTATATCAAGGGTAACACATAGCATAAGCTCTGCCTAGTTGTGATCAAGATGATCGCGTGTGAATTGTGAAGTTATTAGAAAAAGAAAAAACTTAGAAAAGATATTGAGAAAAGTCTATTGTGTTTCCGTTATTGCAGAGGTTCTTTATATTTTAAAGTGCAATCTACTGTTATATTAGTTGTTGAAAGAAGTTACCTAGCAAGATTTCCCTTTGGTCCAGCGTCGATCATCCTCTCCTTGTCTAGCGTCAAGAAGTAAAAGTTTTCATCTCTGATCTCGTGCTTTCTGCGCATTCTCCGTCTGAACTCCTCTTCGTCTATTAATTCACCCACATATTCTATCACAAATTGTCCTGAAACATGAAAATGGAGAAGTAATCTTTATATATATAATTCTTCTGTGAGTGTGTATGTCACTGAACTTCTCTCAAACGACTGGACCGATTTTGATGAAATTTTTTGTGTGTGTTCAAGGGGATCTGGGAATGGTTTAGATTCACAATTTTGTCCGCTGGACAATGTTTTTTTAATTAATTTTTAATTTATTAGTAGTTGTTGATTTTGGAATGTTTTACATTGGATCCGACAGACGGCGCTACAAATTTGACAGGACAACGTCTGTCGGGTCCGTTAGTAATAATATATTCTACCACATACACACAACGCCATCTAGTCCCAAACTAAGCAGAGCTTGTACTATGGGTACTAGACAACTGATATAAATACATATATACTTTCTTTTTGTAAATACATACATATTATACATAGAAACACCCAGACCAAATGAAACATCAAATGTTCATGCACACAAATGTTTGACTTGAGCGGGAATCGAACCCGCGACCTTTGGAATAGCAGTCCGTTACACAAACCACTACGCCATCCAGTCGAAGTGCATAAGAACATTGATCCCTTTCTGTTATTAACGTAAATACTAATTAAGGAGAGAACGTCTTTGGTTTGAGAACAACTAAGGATAACTACGATAAAACCAATGTTTCGGTTGTGTAAGAAATAATACATCAGAGGGACTTGTGTGAGTTTATTTCACATAAACTCGCTCACGAGCGCGGCCGTATTAAGCGTTGCGATTGGTGAAGAGTTCAAGAGGGGATTTCCGCACGGAAAAAAAAGGGGGGCAATCCGAACGCGGTCGCCGTGACGATCGAGTAGATGTGAAATAAACACAATGCCTTCTGAAACGAGTTTCAATAGTGAACGCGTTTTGGCAAAGATTCGGCAGCAAACGGGCCTTTTTTACTAACTTAACTTTTGATTACCCCAAGAAAAGAAGAAATGCTCATTTTTTTTACCAAAAGTTATTAGAATTTTCTTCTAAACACCCCCTTTACAGTACGAACGAACGAATTAATGTGAACCTTTATTAAAAACAAGATGGATTTAGGTACAAGTCCGATGCAAACTAAACTGGCGGCTTGGAACATCGCGCGTTTTGATGCGGAGAACACCTTAATAGACAGCAGCGCGACGCACAGGAGCGCGGGAACAGGGCGAAACACGACACGCATGCCTTTTAGTGTGTAAGTTAAGCCTAGTGCTTAAGGCGTAGGACTTGCGATCAAGAGGTAGTGGGTTCAAACCTGACCAGTACACTACAGACGTGAAGCCACTCCTAACACAAGCAATTTAGCTAAACGGGAGAGGTTAACGGGAATACTAGTAATTTTGGTTACTAGTAGACCGTGAACGGATGTAAAAGTTACATTACACTGCACATGCGGACATATTCCTGTCTACGTATAATCGAGTCGACTTGGCTGTAGATACCTGCCCACACCTGTGTGCGCAGCTAACTTCAGAGCAGCATTTAAACATAAGTTTGCATTGGACTGTAATAACGCTGCAATAAACAACATGTGTTCCTAATTATTCAAAAGTCAATTTATTTGTGAGTAGAAAACATACCAGCTTTTATATCCTCAAGGGTTTTAAGTCCCCATCCCCTGCTAGGCGTTCTGTACGGGACCAGTTTGGGATAGAGGCGCTTCTCGAAGGCGCGGTTGTTGCAGCGATCACCCGCTCGACATGTAGGACCGCACTCCGTTAGCAGCATCCTGGAAACATACGTTTTTAAATAGGACATTATGGTCTAGTTTTACCTACAGTGGTTGAAAAGGGACTAAACACTGCCGTAAAAAGCAACGATTTAAGGAGGTTTACTAGGATACTAAATCAGAATATTTACTTTCCTTTGAATAAGCAACGATTTAAGAAGGTTTACTATCATACTAATCGATGGGTGAAGATTTTATACTACAAATAAGAAAATTATTTAAAGTTTCTAAAACCTACACTAATATGTCATATGTCAACAAATGCAGACAATTTCTTAATTATTACATAAAAAAGAAATATAGTTTTAAAAAACTAAAAAAGAATATATATATATTTTTTTAAGATAGTGTATTGTCATCGGTCTACGATATATCTACATAGTTTGAACGAATTCTGACCGTTTAAAGTCAGTCAAAATCACGCCCAAAGGAGTCGGTTACAAACATACAAACAAACATACAAGTGAAGCTAATATAAAGCGTGTAAAAATACATGTTAGAATGTACAAATTCAATCAAATTAATAAAGTATGTGTTTTAAAACCTTGCTTGCATGCATACATTATGATAATGACTAACATGGGAGCCATTTTAATTAATCAAATCAATCTTTATTTGCCAACCAAGTGTACAAAAATGATCTTATAATAATAATATGTCTGAACTTAGTAGCATAAATACAGGCAGCTATACTTGTTTGGTTGAAAGTGCTAATCTCGGGAACTACTGGTTCGAATTGAAAAATTATTTTAGTATTGAATAGCCTATTTATCGATGAAGGCTATAGGCTATATAATAATCACGCTACGACCAATAATAGCCGAGCATCAATGAAAAATTGCAAAAACGGAGAAAATTTATTCCTTTTGAGAGACGCAGCTGAAGTTGTAGTACAATATACAATTATAATGGTTCTTACCTATTTAGACACTGTGAATATGGTCCACAAGGGTCTTCATCGAGAGGATTACATTCACACTGAGTCAGTGAGCTCTCAGGGTCATCGAGCTTCCTACCGCAGAGGGAACCACAAGGTTTGTTCACCTTTAGTTTTACGTAGTGCGGAGGCAGTAGTGACGATGCTATGTCGAGAGATTCTTCTTCGTTTGGTTGCGCCTCTGTTAAACAGAAACGTATTATTTTGATAATGATATTTTTTATAAATATTTTATTTTATTTCGTAGGGCTTTGGGAACTGCAATTCTCGTCTATTGACAATATCTGACCGTATCAGAGCTCTGAATCGCTATATTTAACGGCGTACCCATTCGCCTTATCGCTCTTAAACTTAAACAATATCGTCTAATCGAGGGGATATGTGAACCAATAAAACAGTCAGTGCAATTAATAAACACATTATGTGAAAAAAAAACAAAGCGCCTGAAAACAAATTTTTTTGGTGTAAATAACAGAAGGTCAATTCAACAAAAAAAAAACTCGCAATAATGATTCATTCAAAATTCAATACTGATCTACTCTCCATCAACAATTGTCATGAAAGGTTTCTCGCAGTAAAGCATTACTAAGACTAGCAGAATACCGATTTAAGTTTTGGTCACATTACGATGTAATCACATTTATTACAGTCAACGTTAATCGCAACATCAGTAAGCGCCGCTCAGAAAAATATTATGTACATCTCTCATACAAATAGTGGAATCAGAGAAAACATGAAGTCTATTTGTAATGTTTAATATTTTACTGTCCGTGTCCGTGTGGTGACGGATTAAGAATACGGAATGTCACCACCCCTATTCATCCCGTGGGTGTCGTAAGAGCCGACTAAGGGAGCAAACTACGCAGGACGACAGCACTGCTAAGAGAAGGAAAACTTGAAACAAACCCTATACCAACCCGTTTGGCCAGCGTGGTATAGTAGGCCAAAACCTCCTTTCTAAGGAGAGGCCTATGTCCAGCAGTGGACTGTTATAGGCTGTTGGTGGTGGTGGTAATATTTTACTACAAAAATAACTTTTATGTGAGATCATACGTTTGTAAGATCGAGGGTAGATCGGCACTGAATTTTGATGTAATTTTTATTAAGAGAATATCGAACTTCAAAACTTACTTTTCAATATTTCGCATGCTCTCTGTGCATGTTCCATGGCAGTGGTGAACGCCGCGTCTATTTTAGACTTCTGACTGGATATTCGACCAGAGTCACCTGCAAACAAAATGAGAGAATTAGTATTTATAGACAAATGTTCAGGGGGTCCGTAGCTGTAGAGGGAACCGGTCGTGACGATGAGCCGGTATAAGTCACCGTCAACTTTGAGTTCATTCAACGTGAGAGAGTCTGAACTAGTATTGATCATGATTTGAGTTTTAGACAAATGTTTCTTTTTAAGGAAGGCAAAAGTGCAGACGTGTCACCAGATGGTAAGTGACTACCACCGCCCGTGAACACATACCAATCCAAGTTACAAGTGCTTTGTCACTCTTTGAATTATAATAAGGGGGGAGGCAATTATTATATTTGGCAAATATACAGGTGTTTTCTGAAAATTCCTCATTTTTTTTTATAATTTTAAATTTTTTGGTTAAAAATAATATCACAATGAATAACCAGAACACTTCATCATAAAACAATTTAAAATAACGCATACGGTCAAAAACTGCAAGTGTTCGTAGACTGTTTGCACGGAATACAAATGTAGTTGTTACTTTTGTGCGATAACTACGGGATTTAAACCTTAACGTTTGATGAAATAACATACAACGTACGTTGCCCAGAGTGGCGATCGAGTATACAAAGTGCATGTTATCGCGATCGTAGTGGGAGATGTTGCAGCCTCGCCCCCGCTTCTCCTTGCCTCCCCGTCACATGCGCCGGTTCGACCGGTTGAAATCACCGGCCCACCGCGATGTTAAGGATCGAGGTTTGATTCTCCACACATTTTGGCAAATGCAGTGAAATAGGGAGTCCTAATTTACTATGTTTGTCAGGAAGTATGTATAAATATAGTATATTTACCTTCTTGGAAAGGAAACACGCGACCTCTATTGACCCAGTAGTGGTCGTATTGACCAAAGAATCGCACCACAAACTCGCCCAGGCTGTGTTTCACTGCTAGCAAGTTTTCTGGTATCTCGTAAGGATGCAGAATTATTCCTGGCCACCATCTGGTAAATAAAAATTAATCATAATATTATGGTATGGCATGCCTGCATTTTACAAGATAATTAAAATAATAACCTCAACAATTATTAAGCTCATCGGCAAGACTGTTATTATTCACCGAAATTGCCACCAAAAATAAAACATTACCGATTATATTCAATATTGTTCAACCCATTTATTTTACTCTTTTGGTACAGCAGTGAGACAGAATAAGTTACCTACAAATTGTTAGCATCATAAAAAGGTACCTTGTTACACTTTTATAAATAGGGTGTATGATTCTAGTGTTGTGAGGCCTATTATGGGTTGAGAGTACCTTGTATTTACGTATCGGTACCAAATAAAATGTTCTTTCTTCCTTTCTTTCTTTCTCAGTCCACTCCAAGTAGTAACTTTCTGTTCCCTTCTTCCTGTATATATATCTATTGAGGAGTATATTATGTCACTGACCTGTAGTGTCCAAGTTTGACCCACACCATTTCTCCATACAGCGGCAGCCGTCCCGTTTCACAATCTTCGCACATATAACCACCTATAAGCAAAAAATCATTTCATTACAACTACATAAATGTGGAAAAAAAATAAAAGCAAAGACAAGATTGTTGAGAACTATATCTTATTTTTTTTTTATTTAATACCAGCTGTACCCTGCCACATGGTTGCATTGCTGGGAAATGAGCAACAAAACTGCTTAAAACAGATTAATAATAAATTAAAATACTATAAAAACTTCTCTTTTCTTTAAAGCAAGTTGTAATTCATGGCAAAATTTGAGCTCGATTGGTGCGTAACTTTATGTTTTTGAAGCTTACACTAACCGACTTAACATTTTTATATATATTCTTTTAAAAATTAAATAAAAGACATTAGAAATCCTATGAGTACTGCCTTTCAAAAATATAGCTTTTCACACCACTAACAAAGTGACTGACTGTCTTACTAACTTATATCTGTGTTTCAACTAGATAGCCTTTAATCGGTTAATTGACCAATTAAAACCACTCTATACTACATTTATTCTGTTTCCAATTGATTTGCTAACCTGACTTAGGCTTAAAACGCACTTTACGGTTGCTCGTGATGCGGTGTACCCTTGAGGTAGTTGCTAGTGCGTTCGAAGCCTAAGTTAGTAGCAGCTAAGAGCTAAATAGTGCAGGTCTCGAGAAATTGTACGTATGAATAATATAATTCTACCTTCAGGTGGGTCAATGCTAAGGCACTCTGCGTGGAAGGACGTCGGGCAGTACTCGCAGCAGATAAGGGAGCCTCCCAGCGCGCAAATGAAGCACCAGCCCGTGTTCACATGACACGGCACCTTGCCAGGCCTGCCGACAAAAAACATTTTCATACAATAATAACCTCACACATGGCCATCTGATCCCAAACCATGCAAGGTTGTCCTATGATAACCAGACCGCTGATAATCCAACTTGTATATTTCTAAATACATACATTTTATGGATAAATTACACCCAGACACAGAACAAATGATTGTGCTCATTACACAATATTTGTCCTGGGTGGGAATCGAACCCACGACCTCCGGCTTAGCTGTCAGGATCACTAGCTACTAGATTAACGGACGTGTCTAAATCTATCATAAAATGTTGTAAGAATGTCTAAGCTAATTTACTGCCATGATTCTCTGGAGGTCGAACTTCGACTTCGATTACACGACATCAGCAGATGAATATTTTGTTTTTAATTGTAACATAAACATATTTATTTCCAGTACAAGCTGAACCGTCATTACACAAACTTTCTGTACCATGACAGGTAAACATACGAGTATACACTGGACACAAGCGACAAATAGCTTGATGTAATTTTCATATAATATACTTTAACACATAGTTAGCTATCTACACTTCTCCATATAAACTAAGAATTAAAAATTGACATCGTCTGTGTGCGAAATTTGCTCAAAATAGTTAAAAGTCTGAATATTAACATATTGAAGTTGTTCTAAAAAAACAACTCCTGAACTAGGAATATATTCTGAGCCGCAAGGGACTTTACAAACATTTACGAAACGAAAACAAAGTACACAGGACTCGGAACAACAATTTGTGGAGCACACAATATGTTGTCCCATGGGGGACCCATCAAACATACAACACTCAGAAAGGTTTTAAGTCTATTGACATAGCATTGCTTAGTAATTCGCTAGCTCGCTTAGCTCAATTAGATAGCTTACTAATTTATTCCGCTTATACTGTTCAAAGTATTATTCCTTGTGTAAGTTAATGTAATTTGTATATGATTAAATTTCTACATAAATATAATAACATTGAATATATTTGTTTCAGGAAATGGTTTTGTTGTATCTAGAAATGTCCAATTTCACACTAAAAACAAAACATAATTTCAAAAATTCATGACTTATAAAGCTTTTCATGTAAAAATGGAAAACAGAAAAAAAAACTATGTTATGTCATCATAGGAATACAAGATATAGACAATTTAAATAGGTTTTCTCAAACAAAAGTACATATTAATAAGTTTGACATTTAGGCCAATATCCGAGATATCCGCTTTCTACTGTCTATATTCAGAGTTTATTCCTTTCAACTCCAATAAGCATACAATTATAATGATTACGTAATAAAAATATCTACCTGTGTTCATAATGCCTCGGACATATAATATGCGACGCCGTCAAAATCTGAGAACCAGCCGGCAAGCACTTGGTGAAGGAGTGGTATGTCGCTGGGCACCTCACACACCTAGCCAACTTGTCCCCACTGAACCTCGTCTTGCAGCCCCTAGGGTCATCAGATACACACGTGTGACATACATGTCTCGGACACGTCAGAGCTTCAAAATATTCGTTAATTTTCTTATTAGTCTTCGAAGGCGCTCCTCCATTAAAATGAGTTTGAGGCCATTGGTCCAAGCATTCTAAATGGTAATATTTATGACAATGTGCTACATGACATTTCTGTCTTTTTATTGAATCGTTCTTTGACACAGCATTTTTACAGACGAAACACACAGGAGTATTGTACTTTTGACAATTATTGCATTTAAAATCTGCATATTCGATATCGGTCATTGAACGCCTAGGTTTGAGTTTTACATCGACTATTTCGCATTTGCCAGGTAAAGTTTCGTTCCAATCAAGACCGTCGTCACTCGAATATGATTCGTAATCGATCTTTTCAGACGAGTCCAAAATCTCCTTCATTTTAGCGCTTAGTAGGCTTTCTAAAACATCTGCGTCCACTGTGTGAGGGTCTGCTTCAATAATTTCTTCAACAGAAATATTATTATCTTCTATTGTGTCTTGGCTTCTATCATCAGTGTCAATGTCTTCTGAATTTTTAGGTCTCCGGATTGTCTTTTTCTTTTTCTTTCTACCTCTAGTTGGAGCAGAAACTTCTACTACTTGAACTTCCTTGTTAACGCAGTCAACATGAAACATGCCATTACAGCCTTTGCATTTTACTAAACTACCAATTTTCTCGCAAATTTCGCAAACTTTCTCCCTGATTAAACCCTTAAAAATATTTGGTTTTGGTTTAGTCAGTTCAGCAAAATATAGTTCGACCTCATCATATACCTCAACTGGTCTTTGCAACTGTTCAGATTCTAAAACTGCTGGTTCTACTTCACTAGAAACAACTCTCTGTTTAGGCTTGAAAATTTCGAAAACTTCAAGTTCCTCTTCAATGTCTGAATACTCTTCGTTGTAAAATGGCTTAACACTTTTCCTTTTAGGTTTTTCTTTTGTCGACATTTCCTCATCTACACCATCTTTTTCGGTTTTTAGAATTTTACGTTTAACTTTTTTGGGTTCTTGTGCTGCATCTTTAAGACCTTTAACTAAATTGGATTCTTTAATTTCATCACTTTTTTTAGTTTCCGACTTATTATTCTCTTCATATAAAAACGTTTGATACAAATATGTGATAATTTCATTTTGTGTGAGATCAGGATTCTCATCTATGAGCGCATCTTGTCTCAACTCAAGATATTTAACAAATTCAGGATCTTCCATAGCGCTTTCAATTTTCTTAACAGTAAATTTCTTTCTTCGTTTAGTAACAGATATTTCGCTATCTTCTGAATTGATAGATATTGTGTCAGCATCCTCATCTTTTACTTTTCTGTCGACACTACCCTCTTTTTCTTTCTTTGCTTTCGAACGTAATTTACATTTTATTAATGGTGCTTCACTATCTTCAGAATCAAGAGAATCTTTATCACCATCATACTTTCCTTTATCTTCACTTAAAGATTCTTTAACAGAATTTGTAGTATCTGTTTGTTGCTTTTTTTCAGTTTTGGTGTCCATTAATTCAGATTCCTGTGTGGGAGAGAAATTTGCTAATGATAAAGGTTCTAAGGATACTGCTGCAGGAGGTTTTTTAAAATCTGAGCATAACCTTTCATTAGTCTCTGGGACAATATTTGAACTGGTTGTTTCTTCAGAGGTAGTAAATTCATTTTCATTTAACGGATTGAGTTTTTCCTGGTTGTTTTCATTTTCTTGTTCTTTGTCAAGTGGAAGATCTGTAACTTTTTGGACAATATTAAGTGACACTTGTTTTTCGTCTTCTTTAACTAGTATTTCATCATCATCGTCTTTTATCATATTTTTTCGTACACCTCTTTTACTTAATAAACATATTTCATCAGTCTCAATATGCTTTTCTCTATTGTCATCTTTATTTTTACGTAAATATCTTTGTATGGTATTGGTTTTAGTTGCTCGATGTTTGTTTAGACTTAGATTACGCTTTATTTGAACTGGATCCTTCGGTTCAGGCTGATTCAAGCCTTTAACTAAATTAAACTCCCTTAAATCGTCATTTTTTTTATCATCAGACTTTACACTTTCTTCATAAAGCCAAGTTTTATATAAATAGGCTACAATTTCGTTTTCATTTAAATCAGGATTCTCATCTATAATTGCATCCTGTCTTAGTTCCATATATTTCACAAATTCTGGATTCAATAAAGGATCTTCTAGCTTCTTGTCTGGTTTAGAACGCAGTTTATTTCTACTTTCAGATTTTGTTGAAGTTACACTATCTTCTGAATTAATAGATGCTGTTTCTACATCAAAGTCTCCATTTGTATTGTGGAAACCATTTTCTTTGATAGATTCGGTTTTCTTAAGAGTCTTGTCAGTTACATATATGCGTACTTCTTTGGAAGCCATTTCAAGTTCTCTTACATTTTCACCTCTATAACCATTATTAATATTGTCATCATCCTGAGTGTTATCATCCTTAATATTATTAATTAAATCTACTTTGCGCTCAAGTATATTAACTTCTTTATTACAATTTTCTATATTGCCTGTAATATTTATCGTTTTGTTTTCATCGCTAATATCACCATTCAATTCAAATTTTTCACTAGCACTATTATCTGTTTCTACTAATGCATATTTCTCAGAAGTTTTACTTAGATTATATTTGACAATATCATTGTTAAGGTCATATGTACTAGAATTACAATTATATTTATTTAAACCTTCGTCAACTACAGTTAAGAGTTCATCAGCATCTTGTTTATTTGTAACATCTAAATTTGGTTGTCCAAGTTCAGGCACTTTATCATTTACAAAAGGAAGTTCATCAAGGCTTAAGTTATCATCACTATTATTACCTAAATTTGATAAAGGACTATATGGCAGACGTTCACTATCGCTATCATCGTCAATAGACATAGAATCAGCTTCGTTTTCATCATTATCTTTAATTTCTTTATCTAAATCATCTTCTTGTGAATTATGTGGTATGCTTTTTAAATTTTCCTGTGCAGTTGATGCATCATTTTCTTTATAATCATCAGCACTATTTGTAATATCTTTACTATCATGGTTATTCTCAATATTACTTTTATCTATATTTACACTTTCACTATGAGAGTTTTCAGTGTTTATGTCTATGTTAATAGTATTCACGTTTTTGTCAGTCAAATTGTCAGTAATGCATGTAGCATTACTTGCATGTGTCTGTAACTCGGTACAAACTGTGGCTCCAGATATTTCTTGTCTCACAGTAATAATATCTGTGTTCAAATTCTTATTAGAAATGTCTATCAACTCAATAGAATCTTCCTTATCTGAATCATATTTAAGTGAATCAAAATCATCGTTAGATGATTCCGATTGTGCCATATTCGGTTTATCACTATTAAAAGATTGTGAGTCTAGACCATCAGGAGCTTTTTCTGTTTCTATACTATTTTGAAAATTCAGATCACTATCTTGGGAGTCAACATCTTGGTCATTCGGTTTTACATTAATTTTATTGTGTTTTTCAGACTGGTCCATCTCTAAATCTAAATCAATCTTAGAAGAATCTTGCAACTCTGTACTAAATGAACATTCAGAGTTAAAATCTTTTACCGCAGTATCTGAATTGGGTACACTGAAGTCTGATTTCTGTTTATCTACCGCGCCGTCAATGGACTCCTCCGATTCTTCAGTGTAGGTTTCAGATTCCAAAGTTCCATTAATATCTATTGAGCTTTCTTTAGGACTCTCTGTCGTCATTGTTTCATTGCTAGTTTCTGATTTAACACTTTTATCTTTATCTTGAGTTTTCTTAGCTAAGCTTTCAACTTTGGCTATAACACATATTTCACTTTCATCTTGTGATGTGCTTAGTTTAGAACTGTCATGCGTAATGGAAGTCAAATCAGTTTCTATTTCTAGATTATCATCTTGTTTAAGTGAATTACCTTGATTTAATAAGTTTTGAGATTCATTAGATTTTCGTAAACTATAATGTTTTCGTAGCGGCTTTTTTGGAGTACTCATCTTTTTCTTGGTAACATTAACTATAGGTTCTTTTTTTTCTTCCTTCTTTGTAGGTATAGGTGTTTTAGCTTTGGTTTTCTCTGGGGTTTTTGACTTTGCCTTCTGAAGCCACCTGTCCATGTGTGATTGTCTTTGAATTTTAGTAATACCAGTTTTAGCCGCCATATTATCAAGGCATGCTGTGACAACTTCAAACATGTCTAGAGATTTTTTTCTTTGTCTAGTTCTTGATCTATCATTGTTGTCCGACTTTCCATCGTCCTCAGAAAATAGACTATCGTAAAGGCTCTCGCTTAAAGATACGTCACTATCTGTTCTACTTATTTTACCTTTAGCCTGTTTAGCTTTGCCTGTCCTTGACTTTTCTAACATTTCGTAGAATATATCAATTCGCAGTCGTTTGGGTTCCCGTAGTAACATCTCTGCTTCCTCGACCGACATATTCCATAACGGTAATTTCTTTTCAGAGACAAAATATGCTGCGTAGAGCTTGGGGTCTTTTTTCTTTGCCTAAAATATACGAAAAAAAATTGTTAATACATTAGATCTACTAGGTTCCGTATATTACATATTATGGCAAGTATTTTTATCATAGCTAAACTACTTAGGCAACAGATTTTATAGACATTTTCCCACAGTTCAGCTACTCAGCTAAGCTCTGGGGCCATTTATTGGGATCTCCAGTTCCTCGGGGACTCAGGAGCCAGGAGTATGTAGTGATTTCACTAAAAACCACCCCGACGGCCAACCTTAGGCCCCTGCTCTGGGAGGACCCGGACCATTTTATTTCAGGTCCTCTTCGAATCGGACACCATGCCTCAATCGCGGCGTAGCTGCCCGATTGCGTCTTAATGCGAAGTTCTGGAGCCTAGTGTGAGCTTATTTTACAAACAACATCTCGCTGGCGAAAGACTTCGGCGATTGGTAAAGAGTTGTTAGTTCAATTTGAGTTGATGTGAAATAAACTGCGAAGTTTATTTCTGGGTCCGTGAAAGATGTCTTAAATTGCTCTTAGTAATAAAGTGTTCCGCATGAATTGAAATTTTATTCATCATTCACAGTCGGCTGTCAAGGTTGCTACTTCATCTGAACAAGCAGCAGTAAATGGAGCTTTCACTGGACATGGCTCGTTTAACAAATTTCTTTTTGCTGTGTACAGAGAAAATAGCTACTCATGTACTGATGGACTGTCAAAGGTTTGCAACCTGGTTGTGTACCTTAGCTCGTCAAAATCGATCTTCCAAATGGTCAGTAACGTAAAAGGGTTAGATTTTTAAGTAGTTCTGTTTATTTACCCAAAACGACGCAAAATAAAAATAGAATGTCTTGTCCTTATTAATAGTTATGTATTCAGGACTGCTTTAATACTTTAAATATGGCAGATTTTAACCAAGGTTCTTCATTTTTTATTGAAGAAGTGTCTCGTTGAAAGCGCTCGTAACCGGCGAGCGTGTATGAAAAGCCTGATCAATGTGAAAGAGGCGCGAGATGTGAAGTCAGGATAGTGCAAAATGGCGTTCTATCACTTCTACCTATCTCGGACGGAAATGAGACTTGAAGATGACATTATGTATTTCATATTATTGAGATAGATATAGTGGTCACTCTTTGGGAGAGGCCTACGTTCAGCAGTGGACGATGATGTATATTTACTTACCTCGACTGTAAAATTCTCTCTAGCCGCCTCAAACTCAAGTTGTCCAAGGTATTTTCGGAGCATACTGTCCACGATCCAGCCGCGGCGCCCATTGTCCCCAAAGAATGTCACATGGATGACGTCACGTTCAATACGACCAAATACTGCAAATAAAAATAAGATTATATTATATTCACATAATGACGTTATAATGACTGATTTTTATTATAATTTTATTAGAAGGTTAATATATAACATACTAATGTAAGATGGTTCTCATAATATATGATAACTACTCATATTAATAATAAGATTCACAAAAATACATTTTTGTTAGATAATTTGCAAACATAGAAAATAGGTTTCAGCCTTCAGAGTAATTAAAAAAAAACATCACTAAAAATTATGTAAGTTTTAGTTACCAAAATCAAACGATCCAATGGTTAGATGACATCATTCAGTTATCACTTCTTGGATAAATAAACATAGTCTCTGCTCACTCAATAAATAAATTATGAAGTTTTTATCAATATAAATTATTTAAACAATGTTAAGGAATATTGTTATCAAGTAAATAGCAATCTAACGATATATTTATATGCATACTGTTTATCAATTAGTACAGTTAATTTAAATCATTGGGTTTGAGCATGAATAATGATTGGCATTAACGACAATACACTTCTGGACAAATAAATTAGTTGCTTTACAGTTATTTGTGGGACAACATGTAATTACATTTTATAATTGATTAAGTAACCTTAGTTTTCGTCAGTGTTGTTAAATATAAATAACATTATTTTGGCATGTGACATCTTAACTCCTTGTAAGAAATGGACAGAAAATGCCTCTGCTGGGTTAGAAACTATTCAAGCATTCTTGGAATACCCACATGTGAGTTCAACCATATTTAAAAAAAATATGAATACCACTCACAGCACTGGTAAATGGTCATGTACCACATTTTTACAGGGGTCTTTAAAACATACAATTAACAGACAAGTTACATCCAAATGCATACTAATTCTCATAAAACTCATGGATCAGTGAACAGTCCTGAGTAAGGACAGAACTCAAAAATAACAGGTGCTGCTTACAAGTTTCACTCTCTACACGCACATGTCTTAATAGATATCGCAAGTGCTAACTTAACTGTAATGGAATAGATTTATTCAAGTAAAAGTGATTGTCATAGTCAACCCAAGAAGTTCTAGGTTAAACAGACTCAAGAGTCATTTCTTATCCGCTTATATTCATTAGCCGTTGCCATTGCCATTGCCATGGGCACCTTTGATACTAAATATTTGAAACATTTCTAACACACACACACAAACCCCACCTAAAACCTCCTTTTTAAGGAGAGGCCTATGTCCAGCAGTGGACTATTAAAGGCTGTTGATGATGATGATGATTTCAAACACAAGCAGGTCTAAAGTTTTTTGACAACCATATTATGTGTGTTTATTGGTAAGACTCGAATGTCGTCACTTTTTGTTATTGAAACAAAGTTCCTTATCTACACACTGAACGGATGGGAGCGAGACGGAAAAATATGTAACAAGACTTTTTTGCGACAAATTCGGTGTGCGCGTCGACGCCCACATCTACCAAACAGCGACAGGAACCCGGGCTCCATAGACCCTTTACGTCATTTTATTTTAAATAAGATAGGTTTTAAAAAGACCACAGAGATTTCAGAGAATACAGTACTCAGTATTTGTGATAGAAAACCTTTACACAGGCCACAAAACAAACCCTGCACACTTAGATAACGACACCATATTGATTTTTAAGTAAACATAGCCTGAAAATATATGGCCCTATATAATAACTGTTTCAAAACTAGCATACTAGACACTAATAGACAAAGTTACAAGCAAAAACATCATAACGCATAACAAAATTAATAGACATACTGTCACATATTGATCAACTTAAATAGAGATGGACTGTACATATGCTGGCATTGTGGAGCAAACGGGTGACAGTCTGGTGTCCAATAGTAAGGCACTCGAAGCCGAGGTCATAAAACAATAAGATGGGCGGATGACCTCAAAATTACCTCAAGACCTCTTTGGATAAGAGCAGCGGTAGACAGAAAACAATTGAGAGAGTTGTGGGAGGCCTTTGCTGTAAAGCAAATCGAATTAAGAGATATTTTGTAATATAAGTGTAGTTTTAGTTTATAAATGTTTTACTATCTCTTTTGACTCATTTTTATATAGTTTTTTTCTAAAAAATTAACTAAGACAATAAAAAAGGTTTGTCATTATAATAACTGTTATAAATCATCGGTTTTAATGACACAACTGTCTATACCATTACATACTATTGAGTGCAACAAAAATACAGAAATGGTTGAAGTGGCACTACCCACTTAAAACCAATAATAAAACTTCACACATCCCACACATGGCTATTTAATTACCAATTAGGCAGAGCCCTTAATTATTTCTAAATGTATTTATATTACAAATAAATAACACCCTACACAGATAATCATGCTCATTGATGATGATGATGCTTGGTGAGAATTAAGTTCGCGACCTCTAGCTCAGCAGTTACGATCACTTAACATGTGCCCAACAAGTCGCCATGTGAAAATAAAAAAGTATATTATTTGAATTATACTTACACTTCTTTTTAACAAAAATTCCAGTAGATGGATCTCTAGTAACAATAGATGGCCAGAATGGATAAGAACCCATTCTAGCCCAGGCCAAATCTCCAACCTGAAATTGACATTTTGCTTCCATATCAAACAGTTCACTTTTTGATGGAACAGCATTACTATCTTTGCTATCTCTCTTCTTCTTCTTACTGTCAAAGTCCAAAGTTTTGACAACTGATGAATTATCTATGTATCCATTTTGAGATTTATTATTCAAATCATATCGCTCAGAAGACCTTTCAAGAATATTGTTTAAGTGTGTGCTAGAAGATTTCTTAACACTTCTAGTAGGTGAAAACATATTTTGAATCACATTGACAGTATCTTCTGGTTCTCTTTTCTGTATTAGATCCTTCCTTATATAAACTTTTGGGAACTTCTTCACTGGCGATGCAGCAACTACATTCAGCTCTTCATTACCAAAGCGGCTGAGTGATATGTTCTCTTGATAAATGTTTTCTATTTGATTGTCCAAAAATTTCTCACCCACATTTTTGGGTGACTCAGTGCGTTTTAGAGGAGAATTAGACGCATGCATTTTGTAAGCAGGGGACTGAGTATGAGCCCGAACAGGAGATTTTTCAATAGAAGGTGACTTAAGTTCCGTCGTCACTTTCTTAACATCGGGTTGTTCTATTTCAGACTTCAATCGGCGAGCTCTTCCATACCTGCTAGTGTTAGTACCATCCCCAGAAGCCACCGGGGAAGTTATTCTTGCAGTTAAACTTGTTTCAAGTTCCCGTTCAATCAATGACCGTTTCTTTGGTTTAGATTTGACAGTCATTGGACTATCAGTAGATTTAATGTCCTCAGAGCTCAGGTTTTCCTCAGATTCATCCATTTTAAAAGTAGAATAATGTATGAAGTATTCCTAATATGCGACTGACGTAATAGAATAAAACATCGTATGGTGAATGCAAAATTACGAATATTTTAATCAAATTTCACATTTATCCCTATAATAAAATGCGAAATGTGACCACAAACCACTATTTATGCATTAAGATAGTCCATAAAGGATTCGCTTAGTTTTCTGAAACAAAAGAATCAAAATGAAGTTTCGTTTTGCTATTAAAATAGGTTAATTCAATATTTGAACTAAAAATCATATTTTGACTGAAGAAATGTATTTTTTTATGAATTAAAAACATACCATATCAACTCACCATCAATTAATTCAGTTTCATCGCGTCAGTAACTGCAATTTGCACAAGACAATTCGTCAGATTGGCGGGGTCTCAATGCATAATTGTAGTACTGTGATCGAAAACTTAAATTTCTTTTTTGCACCTAAATGCTTCCACTTATAATAAAATCACCACTAGCTATAGAGAGGTTTAATAACACTGAAACAGAATTATTATCAAATTTTGTCAGCGCTCAAATATCGTTCGAGCAAAGTCCTAATTTGTTACGAGAAAGCACCCAGTGCTAGAGTCAAACACGCGCCATCATAATTTCATTCGCTGTTGTGAACGAAACCAGCCAGCGGATCAGAACACTGCAGTTTACACTCACGTTAATATAAATTATCAAACTAACAAAACTGAAAATATTAATTACTATTTTCTATTCCCTGATTAAGAAATAAAAATAAGTTCCGCCACAGGAATACCGACGCTCGGTGCCGCGAAAACACATGAATACATTGGATATGTGTGCGTTACAATACAACGACAAATTTTTAGAATATGGTGTATACAGTACACACACAAGTGCATAGTTCCACACAGTTCAATGGCTCCGCTTATCACTACTGTTTTACCGACGCTTTCAAAATAATTCGTTTTTTAGGGATCCGTAATAAATCTGTCTGTTTAACTTCTAAAGTTGAATGTCATTTAACTTGTAAAGTTAAATGACAGAATTTCATCAAGTTCAAAATTATCAAAGTAAATAATGTTTGTTAATTATTATTATTAAAAAATTGTTTTCGAGAGTGTTAATGGTACAAAGTCATAGTAATAAATTAGAAATCCATAAAAAGTGTATTTAGGATTAAAAAACAAAAGCTGGAGACAAAAGACACCTTTTATTTGCCAACACTTAGTATAGGTGCCAATAAAATGTCATACATTACTGTCTCTCCCATGAACATTACTTTTTTTCTATGAAAGATAATACTTTTAAAAGATAATTTAATAAAATAAACTTTATGCAAACTTTTATAGTTTTCGATTGAGTCCAAAGTTAAGATTGAAAATAGTAAACACGAACTCTCATCCGCATTTATAATATCACTAAGAACTTAGATATAGTACTGCTGAACTATTAAAAACTCTGATTACTTAGAATCCCGAAAAGAATACAATAGTCGGAAACGATTTCATGTCAAGATTTATTCATGACAAAAATTACGCACTGGTAATAAGTTATCTATATATTTTGTCTGAAATATATACATAACTTTTGTAATTGCGCCATAGTCAAAATGAAAATAGGCATTATACGATAACACCAGAATATATTTCAATTAATATTGTACTGAACCACATTATTTTACAAAATAGGAAATGTCTAATGACACTTTCATTTCAATGTCTATGGTTATATAAAACACCCGCAATAATAAAAAAATAAATTAAAAACAAGGTTCAATGTAACTGTTAACATTAAATTATTAGAAATAGTGTCAATATTTTCTCACCAGTTGCAGCAATCAAAAGGGATTAAATAGAAATTATTATTATACAGATAGTTCCCTGGCTTTTTTATGGACTTAGATTAGCGCGGCTTTTGCCATCAATAAGACGTTTCTGTTTAAACCTCAACATAAAAGCAAGAAGCGACGTAATAAGTTTTACTTGTGTAGCAGACAGCTTGTTGCTTCATTTGCTTTTGTCTTTAACTTGTTATATTTTTTTAGAATTGAAATCTAATTCTAAAAAAAGAGAGAGATGGGAGAAACCATTAACTCGAAACACTGTTACCATTATGTTATACGTAGAACATATATTATTTATATATATGCGTATGTAATACTTAAATCGAAAAAAAAACAAGAAAAGCTTATTATAATTAAAAAAAAAACAAGTTTTCATTACTGTCGGCACTCCCGGAGTGCCACTTATTTTTTATTTTAATTTCATCCAGGAATGGCATACCCATGTATTATATTATGTGGTATTAATTTTGTATAACATGACATTATCATTTAAAGATGGATTTTAGGGAAATCAATTTTAGAATAACATCCGATTAGACATCGATGTTTTATTCGATAATAAAATACCCTCATTAACTATATTTTGATAAATCGAAAGGAAAATATTGTTCGAAATTCGAATATTCGGCAACATTTGTGTGTTTAAGTGCATCAAAGTGCAAAAAAGACAAATTTTTAATTTACTATTTGTTTTAAAAAGTAAAAAATGTGTGCTTAGTTTGAAACAAAAATATTTTAGATAAATAATGGTTTGTTTTCTACTTTGTTCCAGTTTCACCAACTTAAATTCAATATTTAAAATTTAATAAACGATTATCTAACGTGTTAATCTCAAATGTCATCAATATTGTCTATTGTCTAGAATTGTCACTGTCAAAGTCTATCAAATCAAGTAAGTAGCAAAAGTCGCAACCTAATTTTTATTTATTACAAATAATTGTTTTTAAGAAAAATACAATTATGTCAACGAATAAAGCGAAAGACAGCAAGCCCGAAGGAGTAGCATACAGTGAGGCCGCTCTAAGAAACAATGCTGTGGTCGTTGAATATTGCAGAACCTCCATGGCTGCGTTGTCAGGATCAATTGCTGGTAATTTGCTATTAATTCTTAATGACAGCTGAAAAGCCTTCACTCACATATATAATCAATATTGTTAACTTCTTAGTATTGGATGTTATTCTACTGCATGCAGACGTAATCTCGTGCTGTCAATATCAGCGATGTTTTTATACTACTACATGTTCATAAAGGATACAACTTTAACCTGTCTTGATTTTAGTTCAAAGTTCTGATAAAAAACATTTAGTTTACTGACTAAAAGTTTAATAAAATAAAATTGCCTCTTCAATTTTTGTTAACTAGGTACCTTTTGTTTATTTAAATAGTGAAAAATCAAATGTGGAGCAATCCACATTATTAAAGCCAAACATATATTATCCGCTCTGTTATATCGAGTCTACCTATGAAAACTATGTGCAGATCAGTGCAGCAGTTTCAGAGAAGTATATTAGACAACAAACTGAAAACATAACAATATTCCCTTATTTGAAACTCATATAATTATATTCATCAACAGCCTATAATAGTCCACTGCTGGACATAGGCCTCTCCTTAGAAAGGAGGATTTTTATATAATTATATTGTTAACTAGGAATTATTACAATTAGACAGGACTAACTTTTTTTTTTGCACAAATAACAATTCAATGTACAATGGTAGACTTAATGCCATAGACATTTTATCCCACTCTACCTTTGGGTGGTGGGGAAAAAAATGCCTGTGTGAGTTTGTGAGTGATGAGTTGTGTTTACAAGATAATAATAAGTAAGGATATGGACAGAAACAGTGTGACTGATATACATACATAGATACTGAGATATACAGACATATATTCTTGCTGAGTTACATACATATATTCTTGCTGAGTTACATACATATATTCTTGCTGAGTTACATACATATGTTAAGACCTTGAATAAGTTCTCACTGTTACATCAAATATGGCAATAGCAGTACTCTGTGTTTGAAATTTCGAATGGGAAAGCACTTGTAAGGAGGTCCTGTATCTAACCTGAAATTTCAGTGTATAATAGTTCACTTTAGTGTAAACAAAGTAATTTTTTATTTAAACAAAGTTTTTGCGGGGAACGGGGAACTAGACTATCACTGGGGATCACTATTGACTTGAATTAATTGAACCTAAAAGATGGGTCGATTCTTGGATAGCCTCAAAAGACATGTCAATTTTCCGATGCGGAATTCATATACTGACAGAAAGATGGGAGAAAGTGATCTCTAGTGATGGGCAATACTTTCAATAAATGTTTTTGTTCCTAATATTTTAAATAGTTTTAATTTTATAAAAAATAGCAAGAAGTTATTCAACTCCCTAATATATTTTTTTTATTTATTGTCTTATATAAAATTCATACATGCATAAAGTTTTCATTATATACCACACAAACCATCAGGAGTTTATCCGTGGTATACCAGACACAGTGTGGTTACAATTCAATTACATGTATATGGTTGAGTATCACAGCTAGACAGTACAGTTTATCAAAACAGTTTTACAAATTTTTTTATTCATCGTTTTATTCACAGGTTTCGATAGGTATGTTGTTGTTGTTGTAGTATGCTTAGGTATTCTATAAATCGGTAAGTATGATAAGTGACGTAATGACTCCAATCCTATATTTTTCTTCAATTTAGCAAAGTTGTAGTATTCCTCACCCAGTACACATACGCTCACTTTATGGAAAACATTTAATATTTGACAGTGCTTAAATAGGCCACATTCCTCGTCGCTTTGTTTAGTTTTTCTAGGTACTATTGCACATAATACAATATATTCACATAATACAATATATACACGTAATACAATATATAAAACTAGGGATGTGATGAATCTGCTAGTGTCGAGAATTCAAGCTCGGACATTCGTCTCAAATAAGAGGTGGGTGGTGTATATTGCATACCTTTGAATTGTCCAAAGTTTTCCAACTTTTTTATATTTTTTAACGAAGAGGGGGCAAACAAGCACACGCCTCACCGGACTTCAGTAACTTGTCATTACATCCGGAATAAATAAAAGCAATAAAAAATGTATCTTATTAATTGACGATTATACAATAAATTTTTTTCAGGCTAAATTTCTTACAATAAAATGGTTTATGATTTCAGGAATATTAGGCCTCACTGGACTGTATGGGTTCGCCTTCTATGTGTTCGCGGTCGTTAGCCTGTGGGTCATGTTCATGCTGAAAACGGGACCAAACTGGAACAAGTACTATATCTCAAGACAGAGTCTGCTCACTAACGGTTTCTTTGGAGGGCTATTTACATATGTACTGTTTTGGACATTCATTTATGGAATGGTGCATGTTTATTAAGTTAAATTATATGTTAAACAATGTTATGAATATGAGCAAGTTCAGTGGTGAATTTAATAACAGAAATATTTATTTATTGGGTTGGCAATAGGAGTCTATAAACAGATGCCCAATCACTATAGATGTCACATTTAAAGTTTAACTTAAAGATTAATTATGTTAAAACAGTTTAAAAACCTTGTGATGTTCTAAATTTAAATTTGATTTCCAACAGTTTAAGAAAACAGATCAAAAAGTTCAATAGGATAATTTCCAGTAGTCAAATTTAGGTTGGGTGAGTGCGGTTGTTTGGGGTTTTCTGTTATTTATTTAAAATAAAAATGTATCTATAATGTAAGTTTATTACCTGTAGTGTAAGTAACGCGGTTATATTAAATACTATTGTGATGCATTTAAATATAAGGTAATCTTGTTAAATAGTTAATTTTATATAATTCTGGCAAGATAATTATAGTATAAATATAAAACTTGAAAGAAGTTCATGTTTATTTATCATCATTATGAAAACTGGGAATGGACTTTTATTTTTATTCCGGAGGTTTCGGCCTACTATACCGCGCTGGCCAGACGAGTTCGTATAAGGTTTGTTTTTATTCTCTATTCAGTGCTGTTGTCCGGCGTAGTTTGCACCCTTAGTCGGCTCTTACTGAACCCACGGGATGAATGGGGGCGGTGACACTCCTTATTATTAATCCGTCAGTACACGGACAGAAAAATAATAATTTATACCATAAATAATCTAACCTCGAAAAAAGAGCTACGGTGGTTAGATTACTAAATGTGTTTTATTGTCTTTGATGGTGCGAACATAATGGGGCCAGAATGGCGACAGCTCTAGGTTTAAAAGAAACATGCTTATTATTTAAATCACTATCCAAATAGGTACTTACGATTCACGCCAATAATTCGATTATTAAACAATTTATTTTAAGTACTAGTTTTATTTTAAATTGGAGATTACATATCCTTAATACACACGACGTCTGGTGACGGACTAACATATTATCTTTACATACATCTATACAAATAAATAAAATTGGAGTGTCTGTTTGTAATGTTAAAATAACCGCTTTTTACTAAATGCATATGTATGTTTACACGGTACATATTCCAAAGTAACATTATTTACAATTTTTGTCTGTCTGTGTCTGTCTGTTTGTTCCGGGTAATCCTTGGAACGGCTGGACCGATTTCGACGGGACTTTCTACTAGGCTACTTTTTTTAGACTAGCTTCGCCCCGCGGCGTTGCCCGCGGTTATAACAACAAACGCGGGTCTCAGCTAGTAGTATGTAATAAAGTCGCTTTTTTGTGTTGTACGCTTAGATCCTTTAAACTAAGCATTGGATTTTAATGCAGTTTACACTAATATAGAGAGTGATTCAAGAGGCAGGTTTATGTGTAAAATAAATGCATATTATAGTAGAGATAATCCGAGAATTTCAAAGATTTGTTGTAAAAAACATTTTTTTGTGTGCTTACATTGCAAACGTTGGCTAAACCTTATGAGATATACCAAAATGATGGACTACGCAGTTGTATATCTTAAATAGATCTACAAAAAAAGTCCGCGATGGCATCTCCTAAGGAACTCCTAACCTACAGTAACCATTTTTATCTTTTAAATATTACAAAAAAATAATGGGTTATTTACGAAGCTATTTTAAACAATACAATATTATTACTTATCCAATTAAATACGTTAGATACGTTGTGCATTTAATGTAGATTAAAATTGCTCTTTACAGCATATCATAAAAATGAAAGTTTTAGAAGATCACTGAGGCTTAAAATGCGGGGGTCCAACGACCTTCAAGCCGAACATCCGTCCCGGGTCGCAGTTGCCGACAGGATTGGAGCGGGCCCACAAATATTGTATTTAAAGATGTCCTGTAGTATAGTCCTATCATAATAATGGTAAAAATAATTACTCCACACTAACACCACATTAGTAGTATTAGTATTACCTTCTTTGCACCCGTGCGAAGCCGGGGCGGATCGCTAGTTGCAAATATGTAAAAGCAGCAGTTTAACAACTTTATCATTCATTAAACAGTGAACTTTTAAGGAGATGGGTAAGACAAGGAGACTGGAAGAAACTGGCGCAACTTAAATTAATCTGCATACCTAATATTATTAGACTCTTGCTTCTTTAACCTTAATAACTGAACTCTATGTACCTACTAACTGATATGTACATTTAACTTTTCTCTTCAGTGTTACCCATATGATTTTATGACTGATAGAACTGAAACGGACTGGGATCCAGATCGCAATCCACTCCCAAATTGTCTCGAAGTTATTAGCCCTTTTTTTTTTCTTTTTTTTTTCCGTGCGGAAATCCCCTCGGATACCACCTGTCGGTGGCATGTCGGACTCGAACCGACTAAAACCGCACGCCGTCTCGGGTACTAATAGCCGGGGAACCAGGTATACCCTAGAAAGGAAGTCCCTGGTGCCCCGACATACCTCGGGTCATCTACAGACGAGTAGACGAATTCCCCGTGTAGGAACCCCATGTTCCCTGTGCTCCCTGGAAGCGAGCGCGCTTCGCAACGCGCTCGCCGCCACCCCGGCCTGCTTCTGCTAGGGTGACAGATGGCCTCATCTGTTACCCCCAGGCCTGCGCTTATGGAGGACGGAGGTCGTTCTGCGACCTCCGGCGCCTGAGTCGTCTGCGGTACCTGGCCCGTTCCCGGGCCTGGCGGGCCGGGAGAGTCCTAAACCTCTCCCGGTCCCGCTCCGCCGTCTCCTTCGCGAGCATAACTTGCTCGCAGAAGGAGACGGCAGAGTTCCATGCATTCTCGCTCCGCACGATAGCCGCAATCAGGCAGTTATTAGCCCTATCTAATCTTCACCTATCGCGACGTCCAGTCTTTAAATGTATTAGCGGTCGCTCAAGGCGTCATTTGCGATGAGCCGCCTAGAGTAACCGAGTACTTTCAGGTTTCTCTAAGGCTAGCACTGGCTAGAAGATACTGTTTTAATCACTTTTCATCTCGAAAGGTTAACTTAAACCCACCCATATAATTATAATAATATTTTTGGATATACACACAACGCCATCTAGTTTGGAACTAAGTAGAGCTTGTACTATGAAAGCTAGATTGACTGATAGAATACTTATATACTTTTTTTGTAAATACTTGTTTGTTAAACATCGAAACAGCCAAACTCCGAAACAAATATTTGCAGATCATACAGACATTTGGTACGACCCGGGAATTAACTAGAAACTTCAGCACAGCAGACGCATACGCTATATACACCACAGAGTACACATTGTATATTCGACGTCTTCTGTCAACGAGTTGCTTGTATGGTTTCTGGTGATTATTTCTATTCGTATAAGTTACATATTTTCATTCATAGTAATACTGTTATGGATAAATACATATGTATAAGATATTGATACCTATGTATTAGGTTTATATTTCGGACATGTAATATAAATTTTTGGTAATGTAATAACTAGTAGTAACATTCCCGTAATCATACTTATAAATTTAGTTTTAAAGTTAGTATTAAACCCACCACCGCTTAAGTGCTTTTTTATACCTACACAGAGGCACTGCACAACATTGTTGCATTAAATAAAATAATATTCCTATACTATTGTACTTAAATATATAAAACAACCTACAAGACAGTATTTTGACAGATAATGAAGATTACTACAGTGCTGCCACCTAGTGTCCCTAATACTGTCATAGCTACTACTCGTACTACATAAGCCCCAATTTACTTGTGGAGCGATACTATCACTAGATAACTGCATTTTGTTTCACGAACGGTAACGGGGGATATCGACACAGTAATCAAATTATTAAGAGCATTAGGGACGTAATAGCGTTGTGCCTGTACATACCTACTTGGGAAAGTTTATTATGTTAGGGATTAACTGGGTCATGAATAACCCTTTCGCGAGTGTTTTTACTTATTAAAGATTTTACTTAAATGTGACGCCTGATGACGCTCCCTCGCTTCATCTTTTGTTCAGAATAGTTTTTTTTTGGAACGAAGTTCCTTATCGCGCGTTGTGAAAGGGGGCTAGACGGAAAAAATTCATACAAAAATTTGGGACGCGACACTTTTTTATTAATATAAATTGACGTCTAACTGTGGATACCATACATTAAATTTGCTTTAACGTTCGCCAACGTCCATACCATGTTGAACACACCGGTTCTCGTCCGATCACCGAAGTTAAGCAACATCGGGCGTGGTTAGTACTTGGATGGGTGACCGCCTGGGAATACCACGTGATGTTGGCTTTTTGCTCTTTATTTAATTTTTTACCGCAGGTTTTTTTTTTTGGTGTATTTCGTATTTTGTTTTCGTATTTTATTTTTCTTTGAATTTGAATTGTATAGTTTTTTTTTTGTGTAAGTATGTAAATGTGAGTATAGTGTAGGCTTGTAATGTTAATTCATATTTTATTATCTTTCTGGTGGTTTTGAGTGTTTCCACGGCCTACCCAAATGTCAACATTATATTTTTTTCTTGAAATTTTGAATTTAGGAAATAAAACTAAGTAAATATATTTCAAAACACTTTAATGATCAAAAGAAGTTGATGCTATGTACACTATTACCCAGATTTCAGTCAAAGTTTTTTTTAAATTAAAGTAAATCTTATTATAACATACAACGTAAGCCATGAATTTGATGAAAGTATGAACTATGATTAGTAATAATATTTTTTCGTGTCATCTTGTCAGACATTCAGCGCCATCTATCGAATAGATAGGAAATCATTTCGCAAGGAGATTTTACCAATGTATAAATTGTTTTAATTGTTTTTAACATGTAGGTAATAGCCGCTTTCATAGATGGCGTTGTAATTAATATCGTGTCAAATCAGTTTTAACTTTAAACAATTTCGTTCCTTTCGGGTGTCCTACGACACCACACGGCTTTTTTATGTTAGAGGGGGCAGACGAGCAGACAGTTTTCGTTTATCATACTCCATACTCACTTGAAATTTACTTGACGTATAGGA